AATTTAAGATCGTTTCAACTGACTTGCACTGAAACTGCACTTTGAACACTTTAAATATATTAACATTTTAAACTGTATACCCCGTTTATCTAGGCCCTTTTTGTTTTGTTGTATGTATACATGTCACACTGTGGGAAACGATATTTCTGGATGTATAACACATGTATAATTTTTTACAATAAAGCTGACTTTGACTTCTGCGTGCTTGCATATTTTAACAAAGCTTTTCATTTTAGCCACACTGAATTTAACTAGAAGTCATGGCTGTGTCAATTAACAGTCTGATATCGTTTTACAAAGATGACAAGAAGAGTGTAGATAGAGGAGAGAACCACTACAAGTCAGGACACGTAAAACAGTGCAGCCTAGATGAAGGTCTGCTTACCGGTGTTGTCAGGGCTAGCATGAGGGACAAGGTTTATAGAGTGTCGGTGAGTAGTGATAGCAAGAGTACCGTTAACCTAGAGTTAATTTATTCACATTAATTTCCATCAACAAATCCATTTTATGTGTCACATGAACTCTTTATTAGGCAAGGCAAGGCAAGTTTATTTATATAGCACTTTTCAACACAAGGCAATTCAAAGTGCTTTACAAAAAATGAAAGACATTAAGAAAATGGCATTTCAAATTAGTCATTAAAAAGAAAAGCTAATAAAATAAACATTAAAAGAAAAAATACATGGATAAAAGTTACAGTGCAGTCTAAGATATGCATAGTTCAATTAAAAGCAGCGACAAAAAGAAAAGTCTTTAGTCTGGATTTAAAAGTAGTCAGAGTTGCAGCGGACCTGCAGGTTTCTGGGAGTTTGTTCCAGATATTTGGAGCATAATAACTGAACGCTGCTTTACCATGTTTAGTTCTGACTCTGGGGACAGAAAGCTGACTAGTCCCTGAAGACCTGAGAGATCTGGATGGTTCATAATTTAGCAGGAGGTCAGAAATGTATTTTGGGCCTAAACCATTCAGTGCTTTATAAACCAGCAGCAGTATTTTGAAATCTATTCTTTGACACACAGGAAGCCAGTGTAAAGACTTCAGAACAGGAGTGATGTGATCCACTTTCTTAGTGTTAGTGAGGACTCGAGCAGCAGCGTTCTGAATTAGCTGCAGCTTTCTAATAGATTTTTTAGTGAGACCTGTGAAGACACCATTGCAGTAGTCCAGTCTACTGAAGATAAAAGCATGGACAAGTTTTTCCAAATCCTGCTGTGACATTAGTCTTTTAATCCTAGATATGTTCTTTAGGTGATAGTAGGCTGATTTAGTAACTGTTTTAATGTGACTGTTGAAACTCAGGTCAGAGTCCATGACTACACCTAGATTTCTGGCTTTATCTGTTGTTTTGAACGTTGCATCCTGAAGCTCAGCGCTAACTTTTATACGTTCTGCCTTGGCTCCAAAAACCATTACCTCAGTTTTATCTTTGTTTAATTGGAGAAAGTTCTGACACATCCAGTCATTGATTTGTTCAATGCACTTACTCAGTGTTTGAAATGGAGCATAGTCTCCTGGTGAAATGGTTACGTAAATGTGTGTGTCATCTGCATAGCTATGGTAACTTATTTTGTTGTTCTTCATTATCTGAGCCAGTGGTAGCATGTAGATGTTAAAGAGAAGAGGCCCCAAGATTACAAATATTACACACCAGAAAACACAGAAATATCCATGAAATAAACATACAGTATAGGCTATAAACAATTAAAGGGATAATTGGGAAGGCATTACAAATGTAAATATATTTTAAATAATAAAACAATCCCACCACCACAGGTATCTACAGGAGAAGAGGGAATTCTCTCCACAAAATGTGAATGCCCATGTGGAGAATGGAAATGCAGTCATGCGGCTGCATTAGCCATCTTTGCCATCCACAATTTCAGCTGCACTGACACCCCCTGTCAGTGGAAGAAGCCAAAGTTAGCTAAACGTACACATTCAGTGGAGGAGCTATTTCCTCCAACCAATAAGTCATTCAACCCGCTGACAAGAAAGCCCACCTCAGAAGATCGTGACTGGCTGAGGGACAGACTCGGGGGCAGGTTCTCAGGAATTTCTTGGCTTCTCTCCCCCGAGCCAGAAGAGGAACACTACAGCTTGGAAACACTTACTGTTCCTGAAATTCTCAAATCTGTTGGGCATCAGGGACCTGAGGCAATTGTGGCAAGCATGGCATTGTCTGAGGAGCAACAGAGGGCAATTCAGGTGGCTACCACTGGTCAACAAACCAACCCAAACTGGCATTTGTTCAGGAAAGGAAGGTTGACTACCAGCAACTTTGGAGCTGTCCTGAGGTCAAAGCGTGTGACTGCTTCCCTTATTGCCAGGGTGCTAGGGCAACAACAGGCCCTTGATGGTGTTTTGTCTGTACAGTGGGGGACTATGAATGAATGTGAGGGTGTCAGGGCATTCTCCACTGCAACCCAGATGCAGGTCCATGAGTCAGGTTTGTGGCTCTCCCAATCAGGAGTGTTGGGGGCATCTCCAGATCTGGTAGGGTCTTCCGTTGTGCTGGAGGTAAAGTGTCCCTACGGAGCAAGGGAAATGACAATTATACCTCATTCACACCAACGCAACTCCGGTTCAAGCTCCGTGCTAGAGCTTTTCAGGTTCAGAACCAGTTCTTCGGTTTAGCTCTGGCTCTTTTCACACCGCCCAGAGTCCGACTGGTAATGCGTCGTTGCGTCATCGTTTGCGTCATGACGTAACCGTTTGCGTGCCTGCTTCATAAAGCCAAACCGCGCGGATGAAATCAGTTGCATTAATTTCTTATGGCTCTATCTGCAGCTTTTCCGGAGTCATTTCTGTGGTTTAGTTATATTCTTATAAAAAAGTGTACTCGTGTCAATAAAGGTTTTTTTAAAACACAACTGCTTCCGAGGTCGGTCTTATTTCTTAAGGTGGACTGAACCATGAGTGTGGAGTAACGTTGTATCTTTCATTTAAATGAACTGTAACCTTCACCCAGGTATGTAACAGCTGTTCTCAAATGAACACGTGAAGTAAAGTTTAATATTTATAGTTTTATAGATTTATAATGAGTTATAATGAGAGGTGATCAATGTGAATGCTCAGGTTCCACCTTAACACGCAGACATGTTGCTTCACCATGAGCAGAAACCTTTATATATACAGTCTATGGCAGAAACACTGAAACTCTTGTTAAGTTTCTCCATCGTTGTGTACAAACTGGATAAAACGCGGGCTTTTTGTTGTTGTTCAGGAGTTGATCTGTCTCTGCCCCTGCCCCCGCCTCGACGTAAGCGTGACGTATGTGGTGCTTTTGCTCTGGCTGGACAATTTTTTGGTGCTTGAAACGAACCGGATTCCGGAGCTAAGAGGCTGCTCCGCTGCGGTGTGAACAGGAAAACCCGGTGCTTTTCAAGCTCCAGCTCCGAACCGGCCCTGAAACACCGTTGGTGTGAATGAGGTATCAGTGAAGCATTGTAAATCAAGGGCTTCTGTGTCAGTAAGGAGGGAGAAACATTCAGCCTGCGTGAGGAACATCCTTACTGGCACCAAGTGCAAGGTCAGCTTCACCTCACTGCAAGAAAGAAGAAGAAATTAAAAAATTGTGAATCGTTTTTAATTTACATTTACTCGCCTTTGCAATGTTGTGGTTGTTAGAGTGTTAGGCTTCCTGTCAGCTCGTCTGTTGGGAAGATATAAAATATTAGTTTCATGGAAGTCACACCGTCACATATAAGAGCATTAAGACATACAGTACATAGGCTAAAACAAAACATCTAAAGATATAACCTTGCACTTTGTCTCGTGAACATTTTCACTATTTTGACATTTTTATAGATCAAAATTGAACTAAAGAAATAAATGGTAGATTAATCCATATTAAAAATAGGTGTCAGCTGCTACACTAATTATAATAGTTATATTTCTTAATTAATTAAGATAAGATAGTACTGTATTGATCCCAATTTGGGAAATGTTTGTGTTGCAGCAGCATAACAAGAAAAACAAAATATAAGTTATTATATATACAAAAGTATGTGAGGGATGGAATATTAAATTGAATATAAATGTCAAATGTACATGTGATTTTACGTCCAAGAGAAGCTATGGAGCAGAGTTCTCTGCCAGCCAGAGGTGATTTGTTATTAGTTCAATATGTCAAACTGATTTCCCTGACTACAATCTTTAGTTACATGGTGAAAAGTTATGCTGCTTGTACTAATTAGACTGATCATATAAGCCACACAGGTTTTAACCCTTTGATACACAAGCTATGGAAACCCCCTCTAAGACACAACATGGGTCAAAAATGACCCGTATTGACTTACAGTGTTATTTAATGCATGGTTGAGTGTTTCTTTGCTATATTTTTGGAAATCAACTTATTTCATCATTAAATATTCAAAATATTCATTAAATATCTTGTTTTTGAAAACCCTAAATCATTACTTTTGTTTCTCCTTTGTTAATTACTAAACTAAAATAGTTTTTATAATATTACATCAAGTTTACAGACATGGGTCGAAAATGACCCATGTATGCAAGTGTGGTATTTAAAAAAAAAAAAGACATACTATAATAATGATTTTGTCAAAAAACATTTTAGCAGTGATTTGGACCAAAGAATAACACAATTAATATTTGAAATGTTTATTTGTCACTTTGTCACACTCACACATAGCATACACCATACAACTGATACAATTAATTTTGAACTTTTTGAACTGTTAGTGAATCTGTATTGTTACTGCAGTGAACTGTGGTGAATGCTGAATGTTTAAAATGAACTCATGACACTCATGAAACAAACTCATGAAATGAACTCATATGAGTAAGTTGCAATCTAGTGCATACATGCCTCACAAATCACAACAACATGTTTGTGCTCCTTGCACACAGGGCTGGTGCACTTGGAACACCAGCTGCTCGCTTTTCGATCTTTGGCAGTTGGGCAGATCTTGCACCTCTTCCTCTTCACTTGGCCCTCCTGTGGCTGGGTGGTGGCTGCGCTTACTTTTTTTAACCCACATCATTCCATTGCCTCTGTAATATGGGTTTGGAGGTGGGACGTGCCCTCCATGCGTCTCCTCATGTGTGGCATGACCAGCTCTTTGCCCAGCTCCTTTATGAAGAGCCGCCGTGCATTAGTCACACCACCCATGTAACCAGGGTGTTGTGCAGTGTAGCTGGTGAAGGCGTTGAGGGTGGCAACATCCAGCACATTGTGCCAGAGCACCATGGGCCACCTCCGTGTTCTCCGCTTGCAGGTGTACGTGCGAACCATTTGATCCATTGTGTCCACTCCTGATTTTGTGTGGTTGTAATATTGGATCACTTCTGGCTTCCTCTTAATACTCTGGTCATCCACTGCTGTGTCATCATGCATTGTGCTTAGCAGCACAACAGCCTTCCCCTTTTTCGGGACATAGCTCACCATTGTCATGTTGCCACAGAATCCAAATTTGGAGCTGTACTTCTCTCTCAGTTTGTTTGGCTTCATGACAGGTGGTATGTCTGGCTTGTTCTGGCGAAGAGTCCCCACAAGCGTAAGGTTCTTCTCTAGGAGCTTCTCAGCCAAAGGAATGCTGGTAAAGAAGTTATCCATGGTTATGTTGCGACCTATGAACAGAACAAAAATGAATGGTCAATTTAGTCAACATGTAATTCTCTAAATTCTAACATTAAAATAAACCTGATGGAATATTGATTATTATTATTATGGAGTACTGCATTGTATTTTATTCCATTCTATGCTTATAAATTAATCAATTTCTCACAATGGTAATACAAAATGAAATAGACACTATGAGAGAGTGGAAAAGTGATCTAGGTATTGTGCTAGAACTTCAAGAGTATATTCACTGTATGTACTCTGTATTCTATATTCACCTGTGTGTCTTATTCCGCTGGACAACTGTTGGACAATATTCTCGCCAAGGTTCCTCTGAACATCCTCTCCTGGCTGTCGCCCTGTATAGATCATGCCATTGAATGCATAATGGACCCTTGCATCGCACATCCAAAAGATTTTGATCCCATATTTTGCTGGCTTGCTTGGCATGTATTGTAAGAACTTGCACCTTCCACGGAATGGCACAAGCTGCTCATCTATAGTGACACAATCACTGGGGACGAACACTTTCTTGCAATTGGCCAGGAAACAGTCCCACACATATCTGAATGCAGCCATGTGGTCTGTTTCCAGTCTAACAGCCCTAGTCCTCTTATCATCAAACCGTATGAGGCGGCGGATATCCTCATATCTGTGGAACCCCATGGTGGCCTTATACATCGGATTTTGCAGGGGATCCAGAAAGAGCTCCCGCAAGGCCACATCCCAGCTCTTGTCCCCCCCTGCAAGGAGGGTCAAACCAATAAATGCCATGAATTCCACTTTGTCGAGGCATCTCCACTCTTTTCCTTTTGCTGCTGCGGCTCTGCGTCCCTCTAAGTTAGTGCATCTTAAAACCTCCTCTATGATGTTATCACTAATGAACAACTCCCAGGCATCTTTTGGTGAAATGATTGTTGAACCAGATACGGGTCCTGGACACCTCCTCAGGATGTTATGGGTTCTTGCTCTGCCTCTGTCATTACAGTAAGACCCCTTTTTACTTAGCCTATTGGCCTGGGTCTGAGTTTCCTCTTCAGAGGACTCATCAGACGAGTCTTCTAGCTAGTCCAAGGAGTCTTCTTCATCACCAGCAACTTCAGCTTGACCCTGTGGCACATAGTCTACGTCATCATCAGAGAGGTCAGAGTCAGCATCAAGGATTGCTCCATCTTCCTTATCCTGTTCTTGATGTAACATCTCGATGACCATTTCAGCCGTGAAACGTGAATGAGTGTGACGAGCCATACTCTGGATGAAGAAAATCAAAATAATATTTACAACATCAGTTGATAAATTATACAGTACGCTTTTCTAATTGAAGTTTTATTTTGTTGCCCTAGCAGACATTAGCTTATACCTTTATATGACTGTAATTAAATGTATTTATTTATTATTATGTATGTATTTCCAGATTGACAAATGGGTTGAAAATAGTATAGCGTATTTATTGTGTAAGACATGATTACATTTCATACTTGATCTGGCAAGAGAGTTGGCATGTATGCATTAGCTAATATTAGCGACCGCGATCTAGAATTGACCTAGCTAACACAAGCTAACATTAGCTAGCTAGAATAGAATATGCTAATGTAATGCTAGCTAGAATAGAATATGCTAATGTCATATTTCTCTTTCCCAACAGGTAAGGATAATGTTCAAATGTTATGTGCAGTTATCTTAGGTAAAACAATTGTAAAACAAGACTTACATGAATCAGATCTGAAGACGCAGCCTGTTTCCTTCTGACAAGAGTGGAATGTGAAATGTTGTCCAGTTGTTTAGTTCTGACCAGCGTCATATTCTGACAAGTGAAAAGTTGTCCACAGTAAAAATGTTCCTAACTGCACACATTTTATAAATCAAAGGTTCCTATCAAATTCACACTTGCACGGGTCATTTCTGACCCATGTGTGGAAACTTGATGTAGTGATACAAAACCTATTTTAGTTCCAAAATATAGACAGAGAAAATGAAAAAAAAATGATTTATGGTCATCAAAAACAAGATATTTAATGAATACTTTGCAATATTAAATGATGAAATGAATAGATTTTAAAAGATATAGCAAAGAAACACAGCCATGCATGAAATAACATAGGAAATGAATGCGGGTCATTTTCGACCCATGTTGTGTTTTAGAGGGGTAGTCGTACAAAAATGATTTTTATTAAAAAAGTAAAAATGAAAATAACAATTTGTGATGATCAAAAACAAGTTACTTGAGGAATTCCTGGAATTCTGAATGGTGAAATTAATTTATTGCAAAGATATTTACAATTAAAACCCTGTCGGGTCACTTTTGACCCATGTTGTGTATCAAAGGGTTAATAGGATGTATTCATTATCTTTACTTATGTTGCGGTCTTTTCAGCAGCGCCATCTCTACAACGGCGATACAGTCACTACCCATCATTTACATTTCACCGTGACATGGACAAAAATGTAACGTCAGCTTACCTCATGGCATGGCACGAATCCAGACTCTCCTTTGGAAAACATTGGCCGGGAAACGATAGAACGAGCACGTTTCATGCGAAGACCTGTGGCTGCAACCCGGAGCAAAGCAACAAACCATTGCGTAGCAGCTAACTAGTAGCGCTAGCTTTGATTGATTGATTGATTGATTGATTGAAAAGTGTATTAACAGCTTGTATATTGGGTACAGTACAGTACAGCTCAAAACATACAATTGTTAAGGGGATGCAGACCAGAGAAAGACTTTCGTCTTGTTTACATCAGGGTCCCCCATTTAGCTAACGTTAGCTAACGAAACGAACTGCCGAGTAAAATTGGAAAACACTGGTAATTAATTATTCTATAATTTGTAAAACTACGGTGTTAAAAACGACAATTTCAAAAATGGTCACAGATATACAGATACTTAAAGAGCCTGTGACACGAGTTTCCCCCATCATCCAAACCCATCAATTTGAGTAAATATTGTCCCCTTGAAAACCGTTACTGAACTGATTTTGGATATTTGTACTTTGATAACCATTAATCTGCCCTTCAATGTTGACCATTTCCTGGATCTTCTCGGGGATTCTTCAAGTCCCGCCAAATTACGTGTGACGTCATTGCGGGCACAGCCTCCAGCTGCACCGTTCAGGATCCCAGCATTGATTGATTGATTGAAAAGTTTATTAACAGCTTGTATATTGGGTACAGTACAGTACAGCTCAAAACACACAATTGTTAAGGGGATGCAGACCAGAGAAAGACTTTCGTCTTGTTTACATCAGGGTCCCCCATTTCCAATTCATCATGTCATTTAAGACATATAAGACATATTTGACATACAGATGGCTTATTTACAATTTAGCTTTTCTTTTTAATGACTGATTTTAAATGCCATTTTCTTAATCTCTTTCATTTTTTGTAAAGCACTTTGAATTGCCTTGTGTTGAAAAGTGCTATATAAATAAACTTGCCTTGCTTTGCCTTGCCTTACATACAGGTGGTTTTTTACATACAGATTGCTTATTTACAATTTTCATTTTAGATTTCGTTCTAATACATCCTAACCGGACATTTAAGACATATGTAAATGCATGTAAATGCACGATGGTGCACACAGCAGCAAGCTCAGACAGCTCAGACAGTTTCATTTTGAACGTGTCTGAGAGCTCATATGAGGCTGAAGGATCGGTTTATGTTGTATCTGTTAGAAGTTTAGGAATTAGGTGCGTCAATATGGGCGATCATATGGTCATGTAGCCAGTGGTGGACTGGGACTAAAAATCATCCCGGGACTCTCGACCGGCCCACTTCGGTACCGCTAGTAAATTGTCAACAGGGGGAGTGGGGGATGTCAGGGGCGGCGGGTGCTGTAGATAGTAAATGTAAATATGTAAATATTTGTGACACTGCATCCTGGTAAAATACAAATATAATGCAATGTCTGTGTCTTTGACATTAGCGCTGCCAGCCACCTGTGCCCTGTACTACGAAGCCAGTTCAACAGACCCTGGATATGTTTGAGTAACAAACAAACTAACAACAACAAACTAACAAACGAGATCTCGCTAAGCGGTCCTACGACGCTGGTTATCAACTCGGTAAATCAAGCCAGGGTTTCTCTCACCAGCTGAGAGCGCGTTCACGTCTAAGACACGAGTGGATCTGACTTTAATTACATTTGACTCGAGTGTTTCGTCAACATAATGTGTTGCTAAAAATAATACTTCTGCATACAGTATGTGACACTGTAAGTGTTGCACGGCCAGACACGGCAGATAAGGAAATATATGATATATTATGATATTATATGATCGATGATCTGATTGATGATGTAATATGAATGATAAGTGCGACACGTCGGCGTCTTCTCTGCATAGGCCTACGGCAGTTTAAACTGTATTTCCTTTATCCTGTAATATGACTTGAGAGATTTAAACTCCGCACACTGAGTTGATCTCTTTTCTATAGAAAAAAAGTTATTTAGCCTTCCCAAACCTGAGCCTCACGCGCCGCCTATGGGGGATGTGCTAGTGATTTATCCGACCGGCCCACTTCGGTACCGGCCCATCGGGATTCGTCCCGATGGCCAGTCCGCGACTGCACCCAGCCCACGTAAACTGTCAACGGGGGGAGCCTCGCTGCGGGGAAACGGTGGACCTGGTGTCCCGATCGGAGTGGGAATAATAATAATAATAATCCGTGCATTTTATCCATTAATTTCCCCAACATTGTGGTGAAAAAAACACACGTTTAATCCATGTTGGTGTACTACAACTACAAAAAGCATCGGTTTGTTTTCTCATCAAGAAATGCAGACCGGCACAAACAAACGATTTTTAATCATCATTCTCACGATCATTTAATGTATCATATGTTCGTCGAATTGACACGAAAGCACTAATACATGTAGTTTCATCCACTTGAGTTTACAACTACAAAAATAATCGATTTGTTTTTATATCACATCCTACGGGAGGAAATTCAGTAGCTCTCACTACCGATTTTTAATCCTAATGTAATCATCATCTTCACCACGATCATTTATGTTTATGTTCGCCGAATTGACATGAAAGCACTGACAAATATGAATATACTGTAGTCAACTTCATTAAAACGTTATTAACGTGCCTAAACTCAGTAATTCACCATTTCTACGCATGGCAACACACTTTGTCCGTGTTTGGCTCTCTCGCTGCACAGTGAAGCGTTCCCGCATTGACGTCACTTCCGGCTTCCCCCAAAACTTCAAAATGAGTCGAAGGAATTTCCCGCGATGTTCGAAATTATTGATATTTAACGGAACGGTATCGCTTTTTCTTTTTTAAACTGACGGTTCGAGATTACTAGTAGCCCAATATTTCATTGCACAACAGTTGTTGGGATGCTGTCACAGGCTCTTTAAGATAGGCAGGTACTTGCTTTCAAGCAGAACACAGGGGAAAACAAATTTAGCGGGACTCGGGAGTGTTTACGTGTTAGGCGTAATGACGTACAACGGCCTCGACCATTTCTGTAGTCCTATTCAGCCACTCGGTAACAACCATCGTTTTTCAGACACGTAAACTATTCAAAAATCACCAGTGGGGTCACTGCTGATGTATTTAATGTCGTAGAACAAAACGTGATTTATCTCTTAAATTTGTGTTAACCACAGACCTTATTTTGAGCTATTTTCCAAAACCCTATGGAGAAAATGCATTGCTTTTTGACGAAGGAACCGGAAGTGCTAAAAATGCTAACTTACTTCCGGGTTTTACGACGCGTCACTGCGGTTCTCTGGCATTGTCACAGTTAGCTACATAATAATGCTTGTGGAATACCGTAACATACATTGTATTTTAGTACATTAATCATGATATAGATCTAACATTTTGTGTATGTTTAAGTGTGTAATAATGTGTATAAATTAATAGTAAAGATATTCTGTTCTATCTGCCAGTATGCAAATAGTATGAAGTCTTGAGCTTTCTAGATTGATCAGAGGTGTGTTAAGTT